CAAATACAAGATGTGGCTTTTCTAGAGAGGCAGTCTGAATGGGGCTAGCTCTTAAAAGAATTTTAAATCAGTACTTCGTACTCTGTAAATCTAAAAGGTTATGTTTGAGAGCACAGTGTCCAAATAAAATAGTGCCCTGAGAGAAAGTGCAACTATTGCACACTGTGCTCAGTAAATGGAAGCAATACCGCAGTGCAACAATGACAGCATCCAGCTAAGGCATCTTAGATCTCTGTTCTGTAACTTAAATTTTAGTATAGCCATAGTTTAAGGCAAAGGAAGGGTCATGAACCCAGTAAGTAGGCTGAAATCATTGTGAGAGAAGAGCTGGAAACTATCATCATTTCACAGGTATAAAATTCTGTTTGCCGGGGTACTTTCCGTGATTGTAGCAACACAACTTGAGATCTAAACATTTCTTTCAGTTTCAGAAATGAAGTAAAATAGACCATTCCATTGAAGCTATCAGCTTTTAGATGACTGTGATAAGAAAGAATGTAGGCTTCAGGCTAGCTATTAAGATTAAATTAAAATTTACCTGAACAAAACTGTAGATAGCAAAGGTGCTGGGGGAAAAAAAGCTAGTTCAAAACACTGCCCCTTGAAAGCTATTGAAAAGGACTCAGTCCTCAGTGTTTCCCTAAAACACTCCACCCATCAAAGCCACGATTTAATTTACAGCACTTGTAGCACCCTCTAGTTCTAAGTCTTAAAGTCCCTTTGGAACAGGAAGAGAGCATTATCCTTATTTTCTAGATAAAGAAACTGGTTTATCAGCTTGCCCTCAGCAAGAGGCAGAGCCTGGAAGAAAACTTGGCTAGGATGCAAGTACCTCAAGTGAGGGCAAACATTTGAAACAGTCTCAAAATGTGATCTGCTATTGTGAGTGGCCAGTACTCGGGAAGGTCAGTTTCAAATCATGGCTGAGGTTTCAGTCAGTGTATTCACCCAAAAGTCTCTTGCATCTCCCACAACAAAATGGGAGGAAAGACACCACTCACAGAGCTTGCCCGCCTTTCTGTAACCTGCTGAGTGTTCAAAGACTGGAGGAACTTCACTGGAGCCTTTGTATTAAAAATTATTTATTTAGTGATCTGTACATGGGATGAAGCAGGGCCTCATACAGACTTTCAAAAAAAATCAAGTAAAAACATAAATACATATTTTCTTACAAAACCGAGATTTACAAAATATACATACTGCACTTGTCTTACACGTTTATATTTTTCTTTTTCTTCCACGTGCACATTATAAAAGACAAAAACCCAAGCCCTGCAAGTCTGAAATCAGATCTACTGAAGGATTTGGCTGATGGGCTCATTCCTCATGCCCAGACTACTGGTACACCCTCAGACAGCAGCAGTCTGCCCCCTCACCCTCAACAGGTTTTTTCTTTTTTAATTTCATTCCAGACACTTTTCCCCCCCAAAAAATGAAGAGCAGCTATAGCGTGGAGACTTGCTAAAAATCCAGAATTTCCTATTTTGTCCTTAGGCAAGAATATACACACACACATATACTTATAAAAACAACCCTTCAGTGAATATAAAGGTAAAGTAGTATGCAAAAAATAAAATATGAACAAGTCAACATAAAAATTTCAGAATAGAAAAATCTGTCACATTTCAAAAAGAAAACAATGCATTTGTTGATTAATTTTTGAATGTCTTTCCTTCCAAGACGTGATTGCTGGAAACTTAACCAGCTGTATTTTAGCTGAAATGAGAAGGCTCCTCACTTGCGGTACCTGCTTTTACACCCCAACCGCAGCCCCCTCCTGCACCACAAATCATTGCCATGCAGGTCAGGGAACCTGAGGAGCAGGCAAAGGGTACACCAGGAGTCACAAGGATTCCTCCTGTCCCCAGAAGCCCACTGGGTATTGACTTTACCTGCAGCGAGCTCACTGCAAAGCAGAAGAGAAAGCAGGTTTAGGGGGAAAAAAAAAGAAAAAAAAATTGTATCTTAATGTTATATATTTTAATGGTTCTTGTTTTGGCAGGTGCTCTTGGTTAAGCTCTTCTTGCCCTCTAAGTCTTGCATTTCCTTCAGCTTAGAAAAGCGACCCATATTGAACGGTAGGAAAACATCCTGCCTCCTCCTTTTTTCATAAAAGGAATGTTTATTCCTGCGAGCTCCCCACATCCAAGGGTGAACCTCAACGACTTCTTTTTGTTAGTTTGCCCATAAAAACCGATCCCATGCTTATGCTTTTCTACATAGAAAACACTTTTGTTTCCCCCTTTGTCTCCTAGAACAAAGGCAAGGGGGAAAAGCCTTCTGCTGAAAAGCAACAAGTCATTTCTTTTCAGGGTGTGGAATAGCAACCCCCTCCTTCCCCATAGCAGCCAGAACAACAGACCGAGGGCCGAATTTTCACTTTAAAACAATTAAAACAGGTATCAGTGAGGTAAAAAGGAACTTGTGAGTTGACAGAACAGAGGCATCTCACCAGCACCGTGATGAGGGCTGTAGCTGGCCCTGCAGTACTCACGTGGTTGCTCCGCCGAGCTGGAGGGAGCCAGCAGTAAGGCCAGGCTCAGGAGTTACCCTGCCTGCGCCGCAGTTTGACCCCAGCAATTCAGAGAGGGTTTGGCTACTTCTCGGCAGGGGCAGCTCAACAGATCTGGCTTCCCCTCCCTCTCGCATAAAGCGAGGCAGGATGGTTTTAGTTGGGTTGGGTTTTATCCTGCACAGGGTTAGCAGGAGAGAGAAGTAAGGGGACTTCTTGCAGGTGAAGGACTCTCCCATCCCACCAGTGGCCTCTTTTTCTGTGCTCTTCCACTTAGCTGGGCATAAGCACCACTGGATACGGTCCGTCCGATCCTTTTATGCAAAGATTAATTAATTTTTTTTTCAAACCCTCTGGGAGGAAGAAAAAGTTTGGAAAAGCCTCCCTTCCTCCCTCTTCAGGGAGCCATTGCCCTCCTCTTTTGCTGAGTATCCCTCTCTTCTGCGTGTGTGCATGCGTGTGTGTATGTGTGTGTGCGCCAGAGGGGACAGGGGTGTCTCATACTGCCGTCTCGCCTTTGCTGCCGGTGCTGAGTCTATGGTAGAAGCGTCGCCAGGACTGAAGGGTTTTGCCAGACCAGATCCAGAAGCCAGTTGTGATACCAACAATCATGGTCATGAGATACTTGATCATGAAGACCGTGAAGTCCGGGCTCATAGGGGCAAAGTGGCTGGGACAGGGCACGGCATAGGTTTTGCAGGTCTGGAGGAGCCACGTCTTCTCCCAGGTGCCACGGAAAGCCTGCTCATAGAAGTAGCACGCCAGGACAATGGTAGCAGGCACCGTGTAGAGGACACTGAAGACACCAATGCGCACCATCAGCTTCTCCAGTTTCTCTGTCTTGGTGCCATCATGCTTCATGATGGTACGGATGCGAAACAAGGATACAAAGCCAGCAAGCAAGAAGGAAGTGCCAATGAAGAGGTACACAAACAAGGGCGCCAGCACAAAGCCCCGCAGCGAGTCCACGCTGTAGATACCTACGTAACACACCCCACTGAGTACGTCGCCATCCACCTGCCCCATGGCCAAGATGGTGATGGTTTTGACAGCGGGCACAGCCCAGGCAGCCAGGTGAAAATACTGGGAGTTGGCCTCAATGGCTTCATGGCCCCACTTCATGCCAGCAGCCAGGAACCAGGTGAGGGAGAGGATGACCCACCAGATGGAGCTGGCCATGCCGAAGAAGTAGAGGATCATGAAGAGGATGGTGCAGCCTTCTTTCTTGGTGCCTTGGGCCACAGTGCGGTAGCCGTCCTCAGAGAAGCGCTCCAGACACACCACCCGCTCCTCCAGCAGGAACCCTGCTGCGTAGGCCACTGCCACCATGAAGTAGCAGCCCGAGAGGAAGATGATGGGCCGCTCCGGGTAGCTGAAGCGGCGCATGTCCACCAGGTAGGTGAGCACCGTGAAGAGGGTGGAGGCACAGCAGAGCACAGACCACACGCCCACCCACAGCCGGGCAAATCGCACCTCCGCCTCCTTGAAGTACATGAGCCCGTTGGGCCGGCCCGGCTCACAGGGGGCCCCGCAGTCCCGCTCCCCCAGGAACCGGTAGCCCAAGTAAGGGGGCACTTTGAGCTGCCGGGGGCAGGAGAAGGAGAAGCCGGAGGGGGGCTGCGGCGGGGTGAGGAAGTCGGGGAGGTAGCCAGCCGTGGGGTGGGCAGTGGCCCCCCGCCCTGCCGCGCCGCCAGGCCCCGGTGGGGCGTCTGACGTGTTCTGCCCCACGCAGATCTCACCCGCGCCGTGGACGGGGAAGTTCTCGCAGCGGAGCCGCTCTGGCCACTGGAAGCCGAACTTGTTCATGAGGGCCTCGCAGCCCTGGCGGGCCCGCTCGCAGAGGGAACGGCAGGGTGGGATGGCCTGCTCCAGCACGGTGCACACCGGCGCGTACATGGAGCAGAGGAAGAACTTGAGCTCGGCCGAGCACTGCACCTTGACCAGCGGGTAGAACTGGTGCACCTCCAGCCCCGCGTCCTCCTGGTTGGTGTGGCCCAGCAGGTTGGGCAGGATAGTCTGGTTGTAGGCGATATCCGTGCAGAGCGGGATGGAGATGGGCTGGCAGAACGGCAGGGTGGGATGGCCTGCTCCAGCACGGTGCACACCGGCGCGTACATGGAGCAGAGGAAGAACTTGAGCTCGGCCGAGCACTGCACCTTGACCAGCGGGTAGAACTGGTGCACCTCCAGCCCCGCGTCCTCCTGGTTGGTGTGGCCCAGCAGGTTGGGCAGGATAGTCTGGTTGTAGGCGATATCCGTGCAGAGCGGGATGGAGATGGGCTGGCAGAAGCCGTGGTCCGGCACCGAGATGCCCTTCTCGCCGTGGTACTGCTGCGCCGCCGCGCCCGCGGGGGTCCCCAGCAGGGCGGCCAGCAAGGCGGCCAGCCCCAGCAAGGGGCAGCCGGCGGCGGCCGCTCCGCCGCCTCCTTCTCCTCCTCCAGCCCGCATCGCCGGGACGACCAGAGGCCCGGGGAGCCGCGGGGAGTCCTTCAGAACCGGGCGGCGCGGCGCCCCAGGGGCATCAGCTCCCGGCGGGCGGCAGCGGGGCCCCTTCCGCGGGGCGGGGGCGCGGTGGCGGCGGCTCCGCGCCGGACCTCCGCGACTTTCTTCCTGGGCTCCGGCGGGTCGGCGCTCGCAGTGCGGCGGCGGCGGCGCTTCCCTCGGCGAAAGTTTCCGGAGCTGCTCCCGCTGGAGAAGGCGGCGGCGAGGCAGGAGAGGTGCACGAAGCCCGGCGGCGGCTCCGGCTCCGCGCAGGGTCCCGCGGCGATGAGGCGGACGCGCTGCTCCTCGCCCCGGCTGCGCGGCCCCGGCGCCGGGGGTTTAGGTTACGGCTAAACCGGATTATTACCGCACCCGGC